AGTTCTTTTTGGTATAGTGACTCTTTGTATTCTTTCCTTCTTCTTTTGATGCTTCCTGCGTCGTTTAATATTTTCCCCGTAGACTCCTTCTGTATTGCAACTTGAGGCATGAATTTTTTCTTCAGTTCTTTCAGCTTGAGAAATGCTGAGCATGTTCTTCCCTTTTGGTTTTCTATCTCCAGGTCTTTCTACATGTCATCATAATACTTTACTCTGTCTTCTCAGGAACCCTTTGAAAATCTTCTGTTCAGCTCTTTTTCGTCATCATTTTTTCCTTTTGCTTTAGCTACTTGATGTTTGACAGCAAGTTTCAGAATCTTTTCTGACATCCATGTAGATCTTTTGTTTCTCTCCTGTCTTTTTAATGATCTCTTGCTTTCTTCATGTATGATGTCGTTGATGTCATTCCACAACTCGTCTGATCTTCGGTCATTAGTGTTCAATGCGTCAAATCTGTTCCTGAGATGGTCTCTAAATTCAAGTGGGATATACTAAGGTCATACTTTGGCTCTTGTGGACTTGTTCGAATTTTCTTCAGTTTCAACTTGAACTTGCATGTGAGCAATTGATGGTCTGATCCTCAGTCGGCCTCTGGCCTTGTTCTGACTGATGACAGTGAGCTTTTCTATCATCTCTTTCCACAGATGTAGTCGATTTGATTCCTGTGTATTCCATCTGGTGAGGTCCATGTGTATAGTTGCCGTTTATGTTGGTGGAAAAAGGTATTTGCAATGAAGAAGTCGTTGGTCTTGTAAAATTCAATCATGTGATCTCTGGCATCGTTTCTGTCACCAAGGCCATATTTTCCAACTACCCATCCTCCTTCTTTGTTTCCAACTTTTGCATTCCAATCACCAGTAATTGTCAGTGCATCCTGATTGCATATTCGATCAATTTCAGACTGCAGAATTTGGTAAAAATCTTCAGTTTCTTCATCTTTGGCCTTAGTGGTTGGTGGGTAAATTTGAATAATAGTCGTATTAACTGGTCTTTCTTGTAGGCGTATGGATATTATCCTATCACTGACAGTGTTGTACTTCAGGATAGACCTTGAAATATTCTTTTTGATGATGAATGCAGAGCCATTCTTCTTCAAATTGTTGTTCCCAGCATAGTAGACCGTATGATTGTCCAATTCAAAGTGACCAATACCAGTCCATTTGAGCTCACTAACGCCTAGGATATCGATGTTTATGTGTTCCATTTCATTTTTACGATTTCTAATTTTCCTAGATTCATACTTCATACATTCCAGTTTCCAATTATTAATGGATGTTTGTAGCTGTTTCTTCTCATTTTGAGTCGTGCCATATCAGCAAATGAAGGTCGTGAAAGCTTGACTCCATCCACATCATTAAGGTTGACTCTACTTTGAGGAGGCAGCTCTTTCCTAGTTGTATTCTGAGTGTCTTCCAACCTGAGGGGCCCATCTTCTGGCACTGTATCAGACAATGTTCTGCTGCTATTTATAAGGTTTTCACTGGCTAATTCTTTTCAGCAGTAGATGGCCAGGTCCTTCTTCCTAGTCTGTCTTAGTCTGGAAGCTCAGCTGAAACCTGTCCACCATGCGTGACCCTGCTGGTATTTGAATACCGGTGGCATAGTTTCCAGCATCACAGTTTCCATGTTTTGTTTTGGTTTTTTCCTTATTTTTCCTGTTGTTGATTTCTAGCTTCATACCATTATGGTCAGAAAAGATACTTTGTATGATTTCAATCTTTTTAAATTTGTTGCAACTTGTTTGGTGTCCTAGCATATGATCTGTTCCAGAAAGTGATCTATGTGTGCTGGAGGAGAATGTGTATTTTTCTCGTGCTGGGTGGTGTGTTCTGTATATGTCTGTTAGGTCCAATTGGCTTATGCATTTGTTTAGTTTTCAGTGTTTTTAGTGATCTTCTTTTTAGATGTTCTGTCTATAATTAAAAGTAGTGTGTTAAAGTCCCCTACTATTATTGCTGAGTTGTCTGTTTCTCCTTTCATTGGTCAGTATTTGTTTCAAGTATTATGATGTATTGCTGTTAGGTGCATATATATTTATAATTGTTATGTCTTCATGCTGGATTGACCCTTTTATTGTTTTATAATGTCCTTCTTTATCTCTTGTAATAGATTTTGATTTAAAGTCTGTTTTATCTGAAATCAGTATGACCACCCTGCTCTTCTTTGTTATTGGTTGCATGGAATATTTTTCTCTATCTTTTTATTCTCAGTCCATTTATGTCCCTGTCTGTGGTGTATTTCTTGTAGACAGGAAAAGGATAGATCATGTTTTTTAATCCATTCTGCCCTTCTCTGCCTCTTGCGTGGGGCATTTAGACAATTTACATTTCAGGTTATTATTGAAAATAAAGAGTCTAGCTCATTCATTTTGCTATTTGTTTTTTGTGTGCTTCATATCTTCTTTGTTTTTTTTAATTCTGATTTTTCTGTTTTTGTTTGTATTTGGCTGCTTTCTTGTGAAAAGCCTTTCTGCTTTCTTCCTTCTTTCCTTTGGAATGTTTTTTCTTGGTGAATTCTTAGTGGTTACTACATATATTACATTATACAACTTACAATTGCAACAAGGTTTAACATGAACATCAGTTAACATACGTCCTTAACACAGTAAATCTGTTCTTGATATGCTGCTCCCTCCCCCATTTCTGTTGGTGTGTTTCCATTAACATCAATATACAACCTGTATTCGGTAAGTTTACTCTGTGCTTATTTCTTACGAACTTGATGTTGTATAGTTTGCGGGATTTAATTATTGAGTTTAATCCCTGAAATATCATATACTTGGTCCTTATGATTGCCCGTGTTGTGTTTTTGTTTTTTTTTTTGAGATCTCTTATTTTTTATTTATTTATTTTTACCTGTGTATAGATATGAGTATTTATTTAATGCTCTTGCCTTTCCACTTGGAATACTCCCTTGAGTAATACTTGCAAAGCTTGTCTGGTAGCAGCAAATTTCCAGACCTTCTGCTTGTTTGGGAATGTCTTGATTTCCCTCTCGTTTTTGAATGACAACTTTGCTGAGTAAAGAATTCTTGGTGGCAATTGTTTTCGTTCAGTATTTTATATATGTCGCTCCATTGTCTTCTGGCCTCTATAGAGTTCCTGGGGAGAGTTTTGCACTGATTTTTATGCAAGATCCTTGGTATGTTATATTCCATTTTTCTCTTGCTGCTTTCAGAATTCTCTCCTTGTCTTTGTTTTTCAAGAATTTTATAAGGATATGGTACGGAGTTGATCTTTTTGTGTCTCTTCTGAGTTGGGTTCTTGTAGCTTCTGGTATTTGCAGGCTTGGTTCTTTGTTCAGGTCTGGGAAATTGTCTCTGATTATGTCTTGAAAAAATTATTTCTCTGCCTTTATTGTTATGGTGCTCTGAGATTCCAATAATTCTAATATTAGATTTCTTAATTGAATCCTATATTTCCTTTTGGGTTTGTTTTCTTTATTCTCTTCTCTCATTTCTCTAGACTTGATAAGTTCAGTTATTTTGTTTTCTAGTTCACTTATTGTATCTTCTATCTGTTTAACTCATGTTGAATGTTTCTCTTTTTCTAATTCAGTTGCTTTATTCTTCAGCTCCAGCAGTTCTCTTTTTTTTTCATGTTTTCAGTTTCCTTGTTGAGTCTCTCATTTTATCCCTCCATTCCTTTCCTGACTCCGCTAGTTTGTTTTCTGTGTGCTTTTTGCTTTCTTTAAACATATTTAGCACCATAATCTGTAAATTATCAATCGTTTTCGCTAGTCTGGCCTCCATAGGAGAAATTTCCTCTTTTTGCTTTTTATTGGTCCTTTTTATTGGTCCTTCTTCTCTTGTGAGTTTGTGTGCTTCACTATTTTTTTGTTGAACTTGAGCCATTTTGCTATCTTTTTTTTTTTTTTTAGTTTTTTATTCTGGTTTTGGTGGGAAATTTTTCTGATTGGGCACCCTTGTGGTGCAACAGCCAAATGTCTACTGCCAAACAGAAGGCCAAAGCCTGCACCCACCAGCCGCTTTACTGGAGAAGGTTGTGGCATCCCACCTCCGCAAAGACTCACAGCCCTGGGAACCCCACAGGACAGCTCCATTCTGCCCCACAGGGTCGCTATGAGTCAGAGTTGACCTAGTGGCAGTGGCTTGGTATCTTCTCTGAGAACCACTAGAGGGCACTCTTATCCTTAGATTCTTTATTAGTGCTGATTCAGGAGTTCTGGATGCTTGATCTCTGGAATTCAATACGCATGCGTGGGAGCAGGGTTTAGCTGGTTGCAGACACTAGTGTAAGCTGTGGCGCTCAACTTTCCTGTGGTGAGGATGGGGGGTTCTCTGTGTCTTTCCCTCATGGGCGCTCCTGCACAGGCTGTCTCATGGTATCCCGCTGTGGGCAGGGGAGCCAGCGGTTTCCCTCTGTGTTGCCCATCTGTCTGAAGTATTCTCCTCACCCTGCTGACCTTGCAGTTCCTCCTGGTCCTAGCATCCTTGTCTTGGGCCTCAGCAAGATTTAACAGCAGTTGCTCGCAGTGCCATGGTCTCCCTTCACCCCCTTCCGATTGTGTGGCCCGCAAACCCCCATGGCCAGTTTCTGCCACCTTAAAAACATAAGGCTACAGCTTCCTCAGATTAGCTCCCTTTCTGTATTCCCTGTTTGGGGTGTTTCCCAGCCCTGTCCTATAGTGGCTGTGATTAGCGAGCATTCCTGAGGTTAGCAGGTAGGTTCTCCCAACTTACGTGCTGTTCCTGCTCCTCCTCTCCTGCTTCTGGACTCACCCCGACTCTCCAACACCTCAGCTGCCATTTGGAATTCTGAGATCTCAGTCTGTTCCTGTTTTTATTCATTGTTCATTGGGTTAGTTGCTGGAGGAGTAAATGGGGGCATCCACTCACTTCGCTATCTTGCTCTGCCCCTACATTAATATTCTGATATAAGTGGGTGTCTGGCAATGAAATATAATTATTTTAAAATATTATATTAAAGTCATTTTAAAATGTAAAATTTAACTGTATCTATATGATTTATCATTTATAGGTTAAAAAATATTGAAAAAGAAATTGAAAAGAAAAGAATGAACGTGTTTAATATTCGATCTGTAGATGAATCCCTTAGACTTGGTCAGCTCAAAGGAAATCACTTTGATATTATCATCAGAAACTTAAAAAAACAAATCAATGATTCTTCAGATCTGAAAGAGAGAATTTTGGAGGCAATAGAAAATGTTAAGGTAAGAAAACTCAATTTTAAAATAGAGTATTACAGGGACATCTTCATGCTCCCTCTCTTTCCACTGAAGCAAGAAAGGGGGCTTTTCTTTTTTACCTTTTTATGGAGCCATTTGGCTTATATTTATTTTTTTAATATATTTTTATATTAAAACAAAACAATAATGTGATTTAAAACAAAAACAAAAAAACAACGTATAGAGTTTCTCAGAGGGGGAAAAATTTTTACATTGGAAGAGTTTTTTTTTTTTTTTTTAATGTCTACCATACAGAGTAGAATTTTAGGCAGAGAGATTTATTTTTTGCAATTTTATTCATGAATTCTTTTCAGAAACCTTTGGTAAATGAGTATATTACTTTTTTAGAAATATACAGTCTTTTTTCTTTTTAATTGAACTTTGAATTTTTTCAGTGTATATAAATTATAAACCATAAAGAATTACTTAGCATAAATTTTTAAATGACATTTGCCAGACATCTAAATATATACATACAACCATAGCCTGATCATCTGGACCAGAGGTCAGCAAACTTTAAGAGGCCAGATAATAAATATTTTTGGCTTTGCCAGTATATGGTTTCTGTTGCAATTACTTGCTGCTGTTGTAGTGTGGGAAAACCCTGGCAGTATAGTGGTTAAGCGCTATGGCTGCTAACCAAAAGGTTGGTGGTTCGAATACACCAGGCGCTCCTTGGAAACTCTATGGGGCAGCTCTACTCTGTCGCTATGAGTCAGAATCGACTTGACGGCACTGGTTTTTCTTTTTATTTTTTATTGTAGTATGGAAGCAACCATAGACAATTCATAAGTGAATACGCATGGCTGTGTTCCAATAAAACTTTACTTACGAAAACAAGTGCTGGGCCAGATTGGACTTTTGGGCCGTAGTTTCCCAAGTCCTGATCTAGGCCAGTAATTTCCAACCTGTGGAGCTTTTAAAAAATTTTAGTGGTCAATTGCTACCACCAAACCAATTACGTAAAAACATTTTGGAGAGGGGTTTAAAAAAACTTAAAAAAAAAAAGAACTCCCTATGTGATTACTCTGCAGTCAAAATTGAGAAACACTGATCTAAGTTTCTGAGTACGAAAACCTTTTTTCACAAGTTTATACAAACAACAAAACCTGGCTTTTAATCAGTATTATGTCTTACAGTCAAGAAAGTATCTTCCAACTGAAGATCATTTGAATCTAACACATTCACCGATTTACAGGAATTGCCTGATTGTATATTCTTCATGTGGCTTTTTTTCTTGACCTATCGAAAACTCTGTTTTTTTTCCCCTGAAAAACTATTAAAATGATATCCTTTGAAAAAGGGAGGTAACTTCTCTGAACTCTGATAGAATTTACCTGTCTTTCATTTGTCACTTAAGGATGTATTATAAAGTTCCCATTAGGAATCATTTTAGCTTTAGCCAACTTTCCTTTAGTTTTTATGACCAGAAAAGGGTGTTCAAACCCTGTTGCCGTTGAGTCAATTCCAGCTTATAGCAACCATATAGGACAGAGTAGAACTGCCTCATAGGGTTTCCAAGGAGCGCCTGGTGGATTCGAACTGCCGAACTTTTGGTTAGCAGCTGTAGCTCTTAACCACTACGCCACCAGGGTTTCTAAAGGTTGTTCAGAAGTCCTCAAATCAAGGAGTCTTTTTTTTTTTTTTTTTTAGGGCAAATGTTATAAAATGTTTTATTTTTTGTTGTTGTCATTGAGAATATACACAACAGAACATACACCAATTCAACAATTTCTGCTTGTACAATTCAGTGACATTGATTACATTCTTGAAGTTGTGCAGCCATTCTCACCCTCCTTTTCCAATTTGTTCCTCCTCCATTAACATAAACTCACTATCCCCTGAGTTTCCTATCTAATCTTTTGAGTTGCTGTTGTCACTTTGATGCCATATATATGGATCTTGAAAGAGCACAATGCTCAAGGCAGACATTCTTTACTAGTTCAGTTAAACCATTGTTTGGTTTTCAGAGGACTTCAGGGGATATTTTTGGTTTAAGGTTTAAAGATTATCTCAGGGCAATAGTTTCCCCCCTTTTGATCAGGATTCTTCATGGAGTCTTTTGAAGTTTTGTTTAGAAGATTACTACTCTGATTGTTAGAAACCTGAAATTATTTGGGTTGTACGTAACCTTAAATAATTTAAATGGATAGTTTAAGCTCTGGCTATTTCAGGACACTATCTGATACTAGTTTTTCCAAATTTGAAATAATTAAAAATATTTAAATATGATATTTAATACGGGAGTACTTATTCTGTTTGCAATTGGTTTTTGTGAATAGCATGAGGTAAGGATACAATTCCTTTTGTACTATGCCAACAACAAATTATGTCAGCATTTTTTATTCAGTGGTCCTTGATCTGGTGCTCAATAATAATTGTTGCCTGGGTAAATGTATACTCACCTCATAAAGTAAGTGTGGAGGACTCTTTTATCTTTCAAGAAACCATCTGGGCCTGGTTTTTCCTTCGTAAGAACATATTTAACTACTAACCAATTTCTTTAATGGTTGTAATGGTAAATTACAATTTTCTATTTATTCTGAGCAATGTGACAGTTTAAAACATGCCTCAAGATTCACCTCTCATCAAGAGGTGAGGTCTTTGTCCCCCAACCTTGAATCGAGACACTGTAACTGCTTGACCAAAAGAGTCAAGAAAAGTGATGCCATGACATTGTCTGGGCCCAGGCTTTAAGAAACTGGCAGCTTTCAGTTCACTCGAGGTGCTTACGCTTGGAAACCAGCCACCATCCTGTGAGGAAGCCCAAGCCACCCTGTGGGAAATGAGCTGACAGCTAGCATAAACTTGACAGCCATGTGAGTTTCAAGTCCTTCATTTTGGAAGTGGATCCTCTAGCCCTGCTCAAGTCACGTTATCTGATGCTGCATAGAACAGAGACTTACTATCCCCATTGAGCCCTGCCTAAATTATAGATTCTTGGTGGAGTGGGGAAGATGTTTGTTGTTTTAAACCAATAAAGTTTGGGGTGATTTGTTATCAGCAGTAGATGTTGGAACAGATTTTGTTCCCTGGAAATAGGATGCTTCTGTTACAGAAACCTAAAACGTGCAGTTTGCTTTGGACTAGTCAATGGACAGAAGCCAGAAGGGCTCTGAGGAATGTGTTAATCAAAGTCTAAAGAGCCTCAATGAGAATGTTAATGAAAGCCCAAAGGCCTTGAGGAGAGTATTAGCAGAAACATAAAGAACCTTGAGGAGAGGCTATTGATGAGAGCTTAAAGGAAAGTAAGAAAAATGTTATTGAAAGCTGGGGAAAATGGAACCTTTATTATTGTGGCAGAAAGGCAACACTGTCACCTGCAGTAATGTGGAAAATAGGAAATGTACCTAATAAACTTGATCCAGCTAAGGAGATTTCCAGGCAGAAATAGAAAGCATCACCTGGCTGCTTCTCACTGCCTATGATAAAATGTGATAAGAAAGACATGAACTAAAGACAGAAATATTATATATAAGGGGACTTGCTGGGTTTGAAAATTGTTTCTTATTCTCAGCATTTCCAGACAGCAGAAAATTCACAAAATAAAACAGAACTTCAGAGCACAGATCAGATCTAAGTAGTAGGTGAAAAACTCTTCCCGGTTTGCCCAGAACTTTCCTGATTTTAGCACTGAAAGTCCCTCATCCCAGAAAACTTCTCAGAAATGTGAATGGAAAGCGGAAGTTTTTTTTTAAATTGTGGTAAATAAATAGGTAACAAAATATTTGCCATTTTAACAATCTTCTCATGTACAATCAGGTGATATTAAATATGTTCATCATGTTCAACCATCACCATTAACTATTCCTGAATTTTTCTATCACCCTTAAACAGAAGCTCCGTGTCTCCCAAGTGTTGTGCATGTCCCCTAAGTGTTGTGTCTTTCTCCCCCACCCCCACCCCCCGCAATGTATGTTTTAAGTCCTCTTTACACATGGGATCACCATGAGTCAGAATTAACTTGATGGCAACTGGTTTCCCCCTTCCCCACTGGTACTATTTTCTAGCTTTTAATCATTTCTTCTTCACCCTTTTATTCTTTAACTGTACAGGTAGGTAGTCCTTGACTGATGACATGTTCAAGTTATGATGAACCACACTCACGACTGTCTTTTGTTTTTTTTCTTGGTACATCTTATCATTAGTAATACGTTGTGGTGCATAATTTGCTGATGTTGTCATTCTCAGATGTTGAATTTTATGATTTATTATTCAGAACACTGCTGGATTTATACTGATGACAAAAGGCAATAATAATGAAAACTGAAAAAAAAAAAAAAGAGCTGTTTGACATAAATCAGTTCTGATGTTGTCAGAAAAGAACCCTGTTGTAAGTCAGGGACTACCTGTATAGCATTTCTCAGACCATTTGGTCCCCATCTGCATATTGCTGATTATAAGATTCTTTTATTAAAATAAATATGAAGAGAGAGACTTGCTTACATAGTTTGACACAATAATTATACTTATAAACTTTTAATTAATTGTAAAATTTTGTGTTCATAGACTAAAGGTTTTGTGAATTACTACGGACCTCAGAGATTTGGGAAGGGAAGGAAGGTTCATACAGACCAAATTGGATTGGCTTTGCTGAAGACTGAAATGGTATGGATTTTTAAAATATGATCTTATCTGTTTGTCAGTTACACTTCTTACATAAGCCAGCCCCTTGTTCTCAACACCAGCATATAAACCCATGTACATACACACACACATACCGTGTATATTACATAATTGAACATTTTCTGAGCAGCTGTTAAATTCTTGGCAACATGTTATAAGAAAGCAAACTGATTAAGATGTCCTTGTGTTTAATCCTTATTTGAGACAAAATATGATTAGGCTATTAATGCTCTGGTTTTAGAAGTTCAAGGGGCCAAGTTTTAGCCTAATGTAAGAAAGGCTTTTCTAACAATTTTCCAAAGGAGTGGACTTCTTTTCCCAAATAAATGGCTTTTCCTCTTTCCCACAGCATTTTAAGCAGAAGCTGAATGGCCCCTGTCATGGATTGAATTATGTCCCCCAAAAAGTTTGTATCAATTTGGCTGCGCCATGATTCCTTGTATTGTGTGATTTTCCTACATGGTGTAAATCCTGCCTCTATGATGTTAATGAGGGAGGATGGGTGGCAGTTGTGTTAGTAAGGCAGGACTCAATCTACAAGATTGGATTGTGTCCTGAGGCAATCCTCTTGAGATATAAAAGAGAGAAGTGAGCAGAGAGACTGGGGGACCTCATACCACCAAGAAAGCAGAGCCAGGAGCAGAGCATGTACTTTGGACTTGGGGTCTCTGTGCGGAGAAGCTCCTAGATCTGGGGAAACATTGATGAGAAGGCCAACAGAGAGACAAAGCCTTTCCCTGGAGCTGACGCCCTGAATTTGGACTTTTAGCCTGCTTTACTGTGAAGAAATAAATTTCTCTTTGTTAAAGTCATCCACTTGTGGTATTTCTGTTATAGCAGCACTAGATAACTAAGACAGAATTTGGTATCGAGAGAGTGGGGTGCTGCTCTAACAGATACCTAAAATGTGGAGGCGGTTTTGAAACTGTGAATGGATAGAGGAACAGCAGCAGCAGAGGACCAGCAGCAGCAGAGAACCTGCATCGGTAGAGAAGTGGCAACAGCAGAGAACCGGCAGCAGCAGAACCAGTAGACCAGTGCTAGATGCGCTGGAACCGACCATGGAGCGAGGGAGCTGAGTGCCTGGGCGCAGGAGGCTTCCTGGCAGAGTAGGGTGCCTCTGGGCACTTACTAGTGGAGCTACAGAGCTTTGGAACACTTGTCCTAGCAGGGCAGATGTGAGCCTGAGGCCCAGGGAGCCTAGAGGCTAAGAAACCAGGCAACAAGCTGAAGAGACAAGGGACACAAGAAGCCGAGCTGCCTCAGTCTCAAAAGGTATGGCCATGACCTCAGGCGTTTCAAAGGGTGGAGCCTTGGCCTCTGGTGCTTCTAAGGGTGGAGTCGCCACTCAGATGGCCTGGGAGAATCGTGCGCCTAAAGCTAAGGGAGCAGAGTTGTCCCAATGGGCCTGGAAGGTGGAGCTGAAGCCCAGGGACAAGGGGTCTTCACTCAGAATCTGGAGAGTGTGGCCAATACCTAGAGTCTGGAGGGCAGGGCCATTGTGTAAATTGTCTCAGAGAACAGAAGATAATTTTCAGAGCCTTGAGGGCTAATGTAGTGTGTTCTGCTGACTTCCTTGGTGCCTGTTATCCCTTCTTTCCCTCCAGTTTCTCCCATTTGTAATGGAAATGACTACTTTGTGCCTATTCTGCCATTGTACCCTTGGAAACAGATAACTGGTATTCTAGAGTTCACAGATGAAGAGGAATTTTTGGATTTTGGACTTGGAGTTAAGACTTTTGCTATGATATGATGGGATGAATATGTTTTCCATGTTGCAAGGATATGATTTTTGGGGGCCAAAGGGTTGAAAGTCATGGATTGAATTATGTCCCCCAAAAAATGTGTGTATCAATTTGGCTGGGCCATGATTCCTGGTATTGTGTGATTTTCCTATATGTTGTAAATCCTGCCTCTATGATGTTAATGAGGGAGGATGGGTGGCAGTTATGTTAGTAAGGCAGGACTCAGTCTACAAGATTGGGTTGTGTCCTGAGGCAATCTCTTGAGATATAAAAGAGAGAAGTGAGCAGAGAGACAGGGGGACCTCATACCACCAAGAAAACAGTGCCAGGAGCAGAGTGTGTCCTTTGGACCCAGGGTCCCTGCGTGAAGAAGCTCCTAGTCCGGGGGAACATTGATGAGAAGGCCAACAGAGAGACAAAGCCTTTCCCTGGAGCTGATGCCCTGAATTTGGACTTCTAGCCTACTTTACTGTGAAGAAGTAAATTTCTCTTTGTTAAAGCCATCCCCTTGTGGTATTTCTGTTGTAGCAGCACTAGATGACTAAGACAGCCCCCTTTCTACCTCTTCAAGCTTCATAGTCCTTCCTCCTGAATTCTTTTTTTAACTTTACTAGGGTACTAGTTATCTATTGCTGCATAACAAATTACTCCAAAATATGGTGGTTTGAAATAAGAAACATTTATTTTCTTATACAATTTCTGTGGGTCAGAAGTCTTGGAGCAGCTTAGCTGCATGTTCTGGCTCAGGGTCTCTCCAGAGGTTGCAGTCAGACTCTGGGCCAGGGCTGCAGTCTCTGAAGACTTGACTGTGGCTAGAGGATCTGCTTCCAAGCTCCTCACATAGCTCTTTGCAGGAGGCACCTGTTTATTGCCACAGAGCCACTCACAACAGGGCTTTCCCCAAAGAGAAGACTCCAAGAGTGCAAGAAAGTGAGGTAGAGAGACCTAAACAGAAACCACAGTGTCTTTTATAACTAATCTTGAAAGTGACATTGCTTTACTTGTTTCATAGTCTACTGGTCACACAGGCCAACTCTGATACAGTGTGCGAGGGGACTACACAGGGCATGAGTACCAGGAGGTGAGGATCATTGGGGACTATCTTAGAGGCTAGCTCCTGCAGCTAGAAAGCCATGCTTTCTTTCCTTTGCTTGAAGCATCCCTCACCCCTAAACTTTATATTTTTTATGCCTCAATTTAAATATCATTCTCATCTGACTCCCCAAGACAAAGGAATTCTCCCGATGTTGTGACCTGGCAGCACCCTGGACTTCCCATCTTAGATTTTATTACATTTCATTATTATTGCTTGTTTAACCTTTTCCAGTAGACAGTAAGCTTTAATAGGGCAGGGACCATGTCTCACTTGGTCAACACTCTATTCCTAGCATCTATTACTCTATGTCTAGCACATGGAGATGCTTAATAATATTTGCTTGAATGAATCAGCTTCTTACCAAATATTTGTTGAGTGAATGAATACCATAAAAGTAGATTGAGTGGGACATTTGATTGAATGACCTATTTTAAGAGTCTTCTTACTCTAAGACACATACTTAGAAATAAATCCCAGTGATTAAATACAGGAACTAGGTATAGATACCATTAAAAAAAAGAAAAAAGGAACATTTTTTCGTCTATTTAGGATTCAAAGGAAAATACTAAGTTGGCAATTATTTTTGAAACCAAAGAATTCAGGGAATTGAAACTACAAATGAAATTTTAATGCCCTGTCATTCCTTTGTGTTTGTTTCTTCACCCATTGTTGTCTGTGTTGGCCAAGTTAAAAAAAAAAAAAAAAGAAATATATGTGTGTATACACACACACACACACACACACACACAGACACACACACATCTGTGGTTGTTTACAGTTTACATACACAGTGTAAACATAGGTAAAGAATGAGAGAAGGAGAATTATGGAATGATGGCATGGAGGGAGGACACTTTTTCAGTCCATAGTATTTTAAACTTATGTATAAAGTTGCTTTGTACAAAAGGTTTGCTTATAAATTTATCATCGACTGTTTAATTTTTGAAAGCCTAAAGATATAATTGCAGCATCAAATATTTGTTAAAAGTCTGTTCTTTTAAGATGCCAGAGAATTTGCATCTTTTTTTTTTAAGAAAATAAGTAATTTGTCGTTTTTATTAACACGTTTGCTTCTTTGGTTGTTAAAGGTGAAGGCTATAAAATTATTTCTTACACCAGAAGACTTGGATGATCCTGTAAATAGAGCAAAGAAACATTTTCTTCAAACTGGTATTTAAAAGTTTCTTTACCTCATGCAATCAATGTAGTTTTGTCAGCAGGAGGGCATTCATTGCAACATAAATGTAATAAGAAATAGATTGTGATACATTGTACATTTAATCATTTGGTTACATGTCCAAGGCACTACATTTCTGGCCAGATCTCTGGGACTTTTTCCTGGTCTGACTCTAGCTTAAGTGATTCATGCCATTCAGCAATAGGTTAGGGGTATGGGTGAGGGAGAAATAATTTATTTCTAATTCTTGGCCTAAATCCTCTGAGGAAATAATTGTTGTTAGGTGCCTTCAAGTTGATTTTGACTCATAGCAACTCCATGTGACAGAGTAGAACTACCCCATACAGTTTTCTAGGCTGTAATCTTTACGGGAACAGATTGCCTGGTCTTTCTTCCATGGAGCTGTTTGGTGGGTTTGAACCACCAGCCTTTCAGTTAACAGCAAGAACTTAACCTTGCTCCACCAGGGCTTCTTAGGGGTTCCAAATTCTAAATTGGTATTGATGGCAGTATGATTCACTATAACTGGATGTGACTTAAACTAAATAAATCTCATTTTGTGATATTCAGTGCTTGTGAATTGTTTTCCATCCATTTGCCATTTAGCCCTGACTGCCAGTTTTGAAGGCTTTTGATCAATATGATTTATACACAGAATGCTTGATGAATGCGGGTTCTAGAGTCAAACTGCCTGGGTTTAATGCTAAACTTTAGTTCTTCCCAACTGTGTGGACTCCTGCAAGTGATTTAACCTCATTGTATTAGTTTCCTAATCTGTAAATTGAGGCAAATAATGGTACCTAAAAGATTGTTATGAGATTTAAATGAGATGGTAAGTATAATGCTCTTAAAGTAGTGCGTGGTACACTGTAAATACTAGATAAAATTACTTATATTTAAATAATAATAACAACCATACCCCTTCAGGCTTATTCAAGACATTCATATATCTAGTCCACATACATGTGTATGTTGAATTCCACTTACACTGAAATAAAGGACATCAGTTTTCAAATATTTGCGTTCATTATTTTTAATTATGTACATATTAAATATGTAAAATTATTAAGTGATTTATTTGCTTGTATCTAGGGTCACTATGATTCGGAATCAACTCAGCAGCAATAGGTTATTGTAGAGTCCCAAGAAGATAATTCCAGTATGGCAACGATTCTTAAACTTTAGTGTGCATTAAAAAAACCTGGTAAATTTACTAAAAAGCTGGTTCCAAGGCTCTTCTTGAATAAGCATCTTTGTGGTAGAATCTGATAACCTACATTTTAAAAAGCATCCCATTAGCAAGGTCTAATAGTATACTTGAAGGATCTAGGTCTCAAATCTTACTTATTAAAAAAATTCTGTCTCTACATGTCCGCGTTGTTGTTAGGTGCCCTCGAGTTGATTTCGTCTCATAGCAAGCCGATGTGACAAAGTAGAACTGCCTCATAGGGTTTTCTTGGCTGTAATCTTTATGGGAGCAGATCATCAGGTCTTTCTCCCATGGAGCCACTGGGTGGGTTTGAACTGCTGACTTTTTGGTTAGCAGCCAAGTGCTTAACCATTGTGCCACCAGGGCTCCTTCATAAATGTCCACAAAAACTCTTTAAAAATCTCTAGTCCCTACCAGATCAGTCCATTTAATCCTTTTGGGGTTTTTTTTGGTTGTTGTTGTTTGTTTGTTTTTTTTAATATCATTTTAGTTTATCTCTATTATAGAGTAAGGAAACCTGGCAGGCCATTACTAATGTTGTACTTCTTTTGTTTTTGTTTTGAAAGCAGAGAAAATGAAAGGAGGGCCATGGGTTTAATGCTCTCTCTTACTTGCGGCGGGGGGTGGGGGGGGGAACCAACAACCAAAAAAACCTCTGCAAGTATAGTTAGGTTGAACTGATAGTTGATGCTGACCGTCATCTTCATGTTTATGTTTGTAAGCTAACACAGTTCATTGTCTCTCATTTAGATTGCCTAACACAGGTTTTTATAACTGATTTTCTCCTTATTTTAGAGGATGCGAAAGGTGCACGCTCACTGTTGCCTGAATTCAAAGTGCGGGAGAGAGCAGTGTTGGGGTCATTGCATCGCTTTGGCATGACAGAGGAAGGCTGTATCCAGGCATGGTTCTCTTTCCCCCATTCTATGCGCATATTCTACGTTCACGCATATAGTAGCAAAATTTGGAATGAGGCAGTGTCTTACAGACTTGCAACCTATGGATCAAGAGTAGTGGAGGGCGATTTGGTCTGTTTGGATGGAGATGTCGACGATGAGCATTTCCCAAATGGTAACGTAAGTATCATTTCATCAGAGTTTTCCAAAAGTGGTTACCACACCAGAAGCATTAATTTTCAGAAGCCTTTACTTCAGAAACAATTTAAAACTAAGGATATGTTTTATTTTTTTACTCACATTTGCTTCTCTCCTCCTTCTAGTCTGCTGTCAGCTGAGGCTCAACACATGTCAGCAAAGGAAAAAATAAAAATAGTCAGTGGAATGAAGTGGAAGATACAAAGATAGTAAAGTTTCCTTTAAAGAACACTTTTGTTTTTTTTTAATTACACAAGTAGTACACCAAACTGTCCCCTTAAAAAAAAAAAATCAAAACGTTACAGATGAGGCTGAAGTCCTTCTCATCACCCTGTTGTGATTCTATCCCGTTTTATGGAATCAGCCTCTGCTGTTTGACACGTGCCCTTCTAGAGCTTTTTCTAAGCTTTTATGTAACTATTCACAGAAAAGATGTTTTTTGTGTGCTTCTTTTATATAAATGTGATTTCACAACTTACTTTTTTCCTTTCAACAATGTTTTAGAGATCTATCCATATTATAAATATATAAATTGAGCTTATTCCTTTTAATTGTTGTGTAGGTTTTGATACTATGAGTATATCAAGTTTTATTGAGCCAGTAGCTTCAAAATGCATGTTATAATATTTTAATGCAAAAGAACAAATTATTATTCTCCAACATTATGTTAAGTCAATCTCACGAATAAGTTTTAAAAATTAGAGAGTAAAGGGATTTGAGTAGTGCTTTATACATGTAGCATCTCAAAATCTTTGAATTTTATAGCAGAAAACAAAAGAATTTTAGAGACCTTCTGTTTTAATTCACATTTAATAGAAATAAAAATTGAGACCAAGATTGTAGAAGAGAGCAGGGCTTTGAACTGGTTCAGTCAGGGCCAAGGAAGCGTCACCAGAACAGACCCAAATTTTTAAAAATTTAAAATTTGGGTGAGCCAGAAAGATAACTGGAATGGGAAGAATTACGGGTTGAAATCCTGCTAGAAACTTAATCTCCCTCTTAGAAAACAAGGGCAGCTGTATGCATTGCATAGCAACCAAATCTCTTTCCTTCAAATTTTGAGCCCAGTCGAAACAGTGCTGTCCTGCTCAAAGATGGCGGTGCCCCATTCAAAGATGGTGGCCAACCAAGCTGCTTTGATTGTGTATCGCTCCCGACAGTCCTGCCAATAATCCGTTCTCACACATCAGGCTCCTGAAAGGGCTTAGTACACCTCTTCTGAGTCTCCCATTCCAGAGGTTTGACCTGTAATTTTTCATGTTTGGGGTACTGTGCCGAAGCACCCAAATCGTAAAACTTCAGGTCTGTTTCTGTTTTGATTTGTTGGCCATGACAGAACTGGTTCAAACTGGTTTGAAGTCCTGGTTCAGAGTCACACAGGTAACAGAACTAAAATGACCCAGTTGCCTGACTCATAGCCTAAACTGATCTCTACTGGAGAAATCATGGATCACCTAGTTAGAACATGTCCCAGTTTTTCAAAAATGGAGAAATGGTACTCTGCATAAAGGAAGCTTTATGTAAATTAATGCAGAGTTTTAAATGTATAAATTAAGTTTCTTTTGGTTTCAAATTAACTTAAGTAAAAGCAGATAAACACACAGGAAGTTATTGGCCCACAAAACTGAAAGTTCATGATTGGTCCAGGCACAGCTATATCCAAGGTCTTGAGCAATGTCCGAAATAATTTATCTCATTTCTTCATCTGTCAGCTCTGCTTTCCTCTGTGTTAGATCCACCCTTAGCCTGGCTTATTTCTTTGGTGGCAAGATGGCTATTAATAGCTCTAGGTTTATTCTTAGAACCCTCTGCAGGGAAGAAGCCCATTCTTCCCCAATAATTTCAACAAAAACCATGGAATTTAGTCCAGTGATAGTGAATGGCCTGGTTTGGGTTGCATGTCTAGAACCAAACCAGTTCTTGTGAACTGGAATATGTGATTGGTTAAGCCTGTGTTATAAGGGCTCCTTCCTGGTACCATCCCAACCAGACCACATCTGAGAACCAAGAGGAGAAGCTCCCCATGGAAAATGAGGGTGCTACTACCAGAAAGAGAGAGTAAAGACAGAGCAAGCCAAAACAATAGATGTTTGCTTTACTACTTCATTAAATGGATGGCTTATGAATTTGTAGATAAGTAAGTGATCACTAGGAGGCAGCATAAATTACTAACCCTGTTGCCACAGAGTCAGTTCTGGCACATGGGACTTCATGTACACACAGAACTGAGCTCCATAGAGCTTTCTTGTCTATAATCTTTACAGAAGCAAATCTCCAGGCCTTTCTCCAGTGACACCAGTGGATGAGTTTGAACTGCCAACCTTTTGGTTAGTAGGTGAGCGCAAACTGTTTGTGCCACTCAGGGACCATGCATAAATTACTCAGGATGGTAATTTAATTGAGACACAGAATCACAAACTCTGTAAAAAGAAAATCCAGCAGCATCATGGTTTTATTTTACCGTATGTGAATGGAAAGAGATATGTCAGTGATTTCCTTTTGATAAATAATGAAAAACCGGGTTTTAAAGCCTTCCAGAAATCAGATAGCAATTTAAATATAATCTGTACAACACATTGTTAAGTAAGTCAGCTATTTCCAATTCAGATTTTTAGAGATTAAAGGTTACTTTGACAAGACATAACAGCAGTCTCTGAAATGCATGTCTTGTAAGACTTCTTTGTTCAAAAATACATTTGCAAGGACCGTTTTATGATCAGAATTGTGTCTGCTTTTCTTTTTGGAGCATAGGTGAAGACAGAACATTTTCTTCTTCATAACTTCAGAGTATCCTTTTACCAGCAGTAAAAAGCATCTGTATATTTGAAGACCAACCATTTGTATTCTATTACTTAGCACTGAGAAAAGAAAAGGAAGAAACTAGAGGCTCAAAACTTAAAATATGAAAAGGAAAAGGACAGAATAAGATTTTTAATAAATGGTGTATGAGACATGTAATGTTTTACATCTACAAATAAAAAATACAGGAAATTACTCTGATTCCTTCTTTTGATAGACTTACTAGACTAATATGTATATTTTTATTTTACAACACTTGGTAGATGCTCTTATAATTTTTTTGTGGGCAAAATATGAGTTAGACAATCAAAAGGTTTAGGTAAATTCATGGTTGGGGAGTAGTCATACAGCCAAAACATTTTTGTTAATTAACTGATTGATATCTACATGGAGGGAGTTCTCTATAAAGACAAATCATGGTGTTCTGTACTTGACCATGTTTTGTTTTATATTTTCACAAATCTACTTAAATTACTGTAGCAGTCTTTTACGATTTTGTAAAACACAAAAAGCTAGAAGTGATAATTCATGAGAGATCATAGTCCCTGTATTTTTGTCCTGGTCAGACCACATCTGGAGTTTTACATCCATTTTTGAGTGGTTATTTACCAGCCATTCAACTGACAAACCCAAAATGTACAAAAGAGGGACATTATTGATAAGAGCAAGGAGAATTGAGAGGGAAGCAAACAAATTTAGAGGGGATCTAGACACTGTATTAATGATGAATGCTTTAGGAACAGGGGAATGCTGTTCATCCTAGTGGAAAGATGATAGCTCTCATGTGGAAGAAAGAACAGAATTACTCTGTGATGTCATAGAGCAACATCACTGTCTTAGTTATCTAGTGCTGCTATAATAGAAATACCGCAGGTCGATGGCTTTAACAAATGGAGGCTTATTCTCTCACAGTTTAGGAGAGTAGAAGTCCGAATTCAGGGCGCCAGCTCCAGAGGAAGGCTTTCTTTCTCTGTAAGCTCTGGGGGAAGGTCTTTGTTATCAATCTTCCCCTGGTCTAGGAGCTTCTTGGTGCAGGGACACCAGGTCCAAAGGATGCACCCTTCTCCGGGCTCTTCTTGGTGGTATGAGGTCCCTCTCCTCTTTGCTTTCTTCTTTCTTTTATATCTCAAAAGAGATTGGTTTAAGGTACAACCTAATCCTGTAGATTATGTCCTGCCTCATTAACATAACTGCCTCTAATCATGCCTAATTAACATTATAGAGGTTAAGATTTACAACACATAGGAAAATCACATCAGATGACAAAATGGGGGACACACACAATACTGGGAATCATAGCCTAGCCAAGTTGACATACATTTTTTGGGGGACACAATTCAATCCATAACAATCACTCAAACTTAATTTATCACACATCTCTTCTTCTCCTGTGTAACACCTATTAATATTCTGTTGTTGTGTGCTGTTGAGTTGATTCCAACTCGTAGCGACCCCATGTGACAGAGTAGAACTGCCTCATAGACTTTGCTAGGCTGTAATCTTAATGGAAGCAAATTGCCTGGTTTTCTGCAGAGCCACTGGGTGGGTTTGAACCACCAACCTTTCAGTTAGCAGCTGAACACATAACCGTTGTGCCATTCTGTGGAACACATTTTTATAAACACCACTGTAGCATACCAAAAAAAAAAACCAAACCCGTTGCCGTGGAGTTGATTTTGACTCAGAGTGACCCTATAAGATAGAGTAGAACTGCCCCATAGGGTTTCCAAGGAGCGGCTGATGGGTTCAAACTGCTGACCTTTTGGTTAGCAGCCGAGCTCCTAACAATTGTGCCACCAGGGCTTCACTGTAGCATAGTGGAGTATATTATTGGGGGCAGAGTTGTTTGAAAGGAGCAGATTTTTGACTCAGCATAATAAAGTACAGCTTCATAATTCAGAAAAAGATTGTTGGTGACTGAGGTGAAAGTATCACCTCAGACCCCTTTTTAAGTTGCCCACCATTCTACTACTTCAGTCATCAGTGGTTAAAGTAGAAAGAATTATTCTAATTTTTATTGCATCCACTCCTCCAGAAACAGATTTTGAAAAGATCTTGTTTGGGTACATGCACATTCAACATAGAAATTGAAGTATATATAGCAGAGTTAGGGAAAATTGAGGGTATTTGGAACATTTGGGAATCATCCATATTTTTATTTATTTTTTAAATAGGTTCATCTAGTAACTAAAGAAGAGGAATCAGCTAATACATATGCAATGCATCAGGTAAATTTGCTTAAAAATTACTATCACTTAGATCTAAGTGTAGACATTTGTCCCTAAAAGAAAAAAATGTTGACTAGTCCCTTTTTAAAATTATTTTTAAATTAAGGAATAATTTATATATAATAAAATTCACACTTCTTAGTTTATAGTTCTATGAGTTTTGATAAATGTATGCAGTTGTGTGACTACCACAAAATTGACAGAAAAATTCCATGTCTCCCTAAAATTTCCCATGTTTCTTTGTAAACCCCTCTCCACATCCCCAGCCTTTGGCAATCACTGATTTATTTTCTGTTCATATAGTTTTGCCTTTGAAAGAATGTCATATAAGTGGAATCATACAGTACAAAGCCTTTTGTGTCTAGCTTATTTCACTTAGCATAATGAGTTTGAGATACATCCATGTTGTGTATATTTGAGTTTTTTGACCTTGTTCCTTTTTACTTTGGTCCTTTTTCTGACTACTATTTTGGTACTGGCAAAGAGAAAGTATCTAGAAGTCAGCAGCAGAGGACTAAAACCCCACAGACTGCAGTGTTTACTCATAAGCAGCTGAGAAAATAAACATATTTGCTGCTCCTTGTTTGCTTTCTTATTTTTAAATAAGGAAGAAGAATTTAAAATTGCCAACTACAATACCAATTATGTGATTGAGCAGTAAGTTTAGATTTTCAGGAAGGATGTTTACCCTTTGTGTTACAGAAAAAAATATGCTTATAATATTGCATGGTTGCTTAGAGATTAAGTCTTTGTTGACTAATTATATGTACCTAAACTTCTTGCTCCATCTCTTCTGTATTATCAGTGGTTTGTCTAATAATATTTTATTTGAATTATTTCTTTGTTATTATGAGAGTTCTTGATTCTAGTTTACCTCTTTTCTTTGCCTGTAAGCATTAAAAATATCACAGTATATTATTCAATATCATGTTTTAGGCTGATTGTAATGTTTACATTCTGACACTGTTTTTACAGATCCAGGTCCCAGTCATAAATGTAAATTTAAAATATGATTATATATCTTTCTGAAGGCTGTTTTATGTATTTTTCCCCTCCGTTTCACAGGTGGTTCTTCCAATACTTGGATACAATATTCAGTACCCCAAGAATAAAGTAGGACAGTGGTACCAAGAAATGCTTAGCAGAGACGGACTACATACATGTCGATTTAAAGTACCTGCTCTGAAATTGAATGTTCCAGGATGCTATCGACAGATATTGAAATGTCCTCATAATCTCTCATACCAGCTAATAGAAGATCATGAGATTGATGTCAAAACAGAAGATTCTTGCATCAGTGAAGCAACTTTATCTCTTTTCATCTCTTTTGATCTTGACTCTTCATGTTATGCTACAGTTTGTCTGAGGGAAATAATGAAGCATGATGTTTAAAACCAATACCCTTGATGTAATCGTATATATGTTACTCTTTGAAGGAAAGGAAGCTAAAATTGCTTGAGCATCTACCATGTGCTAGAAGCTTTATGATTGTTATCTCCTTCACAACATCTTGATGAATTAATGATTGGGTGCTGTACCGTTCCAGAGGAGTATAGCTAGTAAGTGGTAGTATCTGAATTTAAACTCAGATCTGCCTGACTCCAAAGCCTATGTTGTTTTTGTTATATCATACTTAGTAACCTTTACTCTGTGCCAGAAACTACAATATTTTTGGATCATTAACAACTTTACTCTGTGCCAGAAACTACAATATTTTTGGATCATTAACAACATGCAGTACCCCAGGATAACATTTAAGAAAAAAAAATTTAAGTAAATGTTTATATCTTCTAGCTCCTTGCTTAAAATGTAGGTGAAATTAGGTTACAATAAAAGCATGTGATTGGAGAGAAAGAGAGATTGAAACGTTGTTATTTATTATTGTCCTCCTTTCCTATATTTGAAATTATTGATCAGAAAAATACACAAGGGAAATATCATCCGCCTGTTAACGATTGCTACCCCAGGTGGTCATTACTGCTTGATGAGATAAATAATCTTTGATGAAGATTTTGAAATCAGTTTTTTCATACAGTTTCGATATCTTGACATACATTGGCTTTCTTGACTTTTTTTTTTTCTATTATCTAAAACACAGATTTTAGAGTCAGACAGATACGGGCTCAGGGTCCAGTTCTGCCCCTTTCTAGTGACTTTGGTATGTTACTGATTCTTTTTAAGGCTCACTTGTAGAACCAAGAAAATACCAGCCTCACAGGCAGCAAATAATATGATTATCTCCACCTTTTGTATTGCTAGAGGGAGAAAATAATTTGCTCATTTGAAAATTTTAATTTGATTTGGCTTAACTATCCCACGTCATAAATCATCATCCTTAACCATTTTATACCAGTTAAATTTGTAGGCAGAAAAGGCTGGTAGGTATTGACTGGGAAAATCTGAGCATTCTTTCATTGCTGGAAGCATTATATAATGATAAAATTTAAAAATCAGTGTAGAGTATTACGTGTCAGTAACCTGGGATTTTTATATATTTAAGTCAGTCCAATCATTTTGGGGATATTAGCACAAGGAAATCAAAGAAGGAAAAAAGCTATATGCAATGCAAATTTTGCTTATTGCAACATTTTTATATATAATGAGAGAAATTAGAAATAGTTTCAAAGGTCAGCATTAGATAATTTATGTAGTTTAATTTATGGAAAAACATGTAGCTATTAGAAATGGCAATGTTTTAATTATGTGAGAAAACGCCCTCCAAAAGAAGAATATATATATATATTTGTTGTTGTTAGGTGCCGTTGAGTTGGTTCCGACTCATAGCGACCCTGCGTACAACAGGATGAAAACACTGTCCTGTCCTGCGCCATTCTCACAATCGTTGCTGTGTTTGAGCCCACTGTTGCAGCTACTGTGTCAATCCATCTCGTTGAGGGTCTTCCTCTTTTTTGCTGACCCTCTACTAAGCATGTTATTTATTTATATATGTATATATATATACACACACACACACACGTACGTGTGTGTGTGTGTGTGTGTGTGTGTGTAGTATATTCACTGAATGCAGCTTTTACAAATGGGGGGGCAGTTTAGCATAGTGACTACAAGCCTGGATGTTGGAGATAAATTCCCCCAGTATGAGCTCTGACTCTGCCACTTGTATCAGTGTGACCTTGGACAAGATATTTCAGCTTTGTGTGCTTCTGTGACAGTATCTGTAAAATGAGGATGGTAATATTCCTACCTCATAGGAGTATTGTGAGGATTTGATGAGTTAATATATGTAAAGCAGCTTAGAAAAATGTCTGGCACTTAGTTATTGTTGAATAAGTTTGCAGATGACAAGTTTGAAGGGAACAGGAAAAAATGAAAATGCCGTTCTGTTAAGATGATGGGTGTTAGGATTTTTGTAAATAATAAATAGTTCTTTTTTGTCACTATATATTTTTAATGATAAATAAATCTCAGGACACAGAAATTAGGGATTATACCATTGATTTTTTTAAAAATTAAACATTTAAAACAGTTTTAATGTTAACTGAGAATTAAATGATGCTGTATTATGTAATTAAAAATAAATTAGAAAAAAAAGTTTTAACTTTATGTAATGAAATCATCTCCTATAAATGTAATCACAAAATGAATTATATAAATTATTAAAAACTAGTGTTTTTTTTTAATGTTAAGTAGCAATTAGAAAATATGAAAGCATTAAAATGTGCTGTCATCGATATTGTTTTTATTACGTGTAGATGGCACTATAATTTTAGGGATCTCATGTATGTAGACATGTATTTGTATATTTAGTAAATACTATGGTCATGTGTAAAGAAAGGATCACTGAACATATTTCAGGTCACCATAAAACATTCAGATATTGTTATATGGAAAATTGTTTGCCATGTTATTAGCTTTTAAGTTTAAGGACTTTTATATACTTTGGACCAACTAAGGCCAGTCACCTTTGTTTTTTGCATTTTTTTTGATCATGCCAGGCCTTCAGAAGGATGATCTTTGGATTAGTTTTAATTGTCAAAATTGTATTTGAAACTGAGCAATACTGCCCTAGGATCAGTGAGATAAAACAAATTTAGACGCTTTTTTATTACGATAAAAGCACCTGGGTTTTTTGTGAGTTGTAATAGACTGAAAGTCATATGAAGTTTTGATCCAACATTTATTGAATGTCTCCTATGCCAGGCACTTCCACTTGTCTCATTATAATCCCCACACATGCACCCTGCAAGTAGGTACTATTTTATCTGTTTTTGCAGATGAGAAACGTCAGAGTAGTTTACTGACCTATTCAAGGTCAAACAGATAGTATGTGTTTGAACTTGGTTATGCTTCCTAGATCACTACTATTTTCATCTACGTACTATTTCCCTTCTGAATACAAGTTTCTGATAGAATGTAATTTCTATCAACTTGATATATACTTGCCATTGGTCAGTGGGCATTTTACTGAGGCAAGTCTTGAGAGAAACAAGATTCCTTTTGCGATTATGAGACCAAAACAAAAGTAATGGGTGTCCTTCAGGAAATCCCCAAATCATTTTGGAGTAGTTCCCAGAATATTTTGGGATTTGTGTCACAATGATATGCAAAATCACTATAGGTCATAGGAGATTATTTTAGATGGTACACGGCATAATATTAAATATTGAAAAAGCATAGTGAGAAAGTCGCTCGTTTTCCTTTTTTTTTCGGTTCTCTTATTTTGTTTAAGACAATGAGGAAGTTATTTGATATTAATTTACATCATCACTAACACTTGCAGATTTACTTTTTAATAGAAAGTGCAGGTCTTGGGCTCAGAAATATCAGCAGGCAATAGATTTGACTGTAGTTTAATAAGATTTCTTTCTTTTATTGAATTTATTTTTTCAGTTACCTTTTATTTATGGCAAATAATCCTGGTTTTCGTTTATGTGGTGCCTTACTCTTCTAGTACTGCTATAACAGAAATACCACAAGTGGATGGCTTTAACAAAGAGAAGTTTATTCTCTCACAGTCCAGTAAGCTAGGAAGTCTGAATTCAGGGAGCCGGCTCCAGGGGAAGGCATTCTTTCTCTGTCAGCTCTGGAGGAAGGTCCTTGTGATGCATCAGTCTTCCCTTGGTCTGGGAGCATCTCAGTGCAGAAACCTCAGGTCCAAAAGATGTGCTGTGCTGCCAGCACTGCTTTCTTGGTGGCGTGAGGTTCCCGTATGTCTCTGCTCGCTTCTCTCTTTTATATCTCAAAAGAGGTTGGCTTAAGACAGTATCCAATCTTGTATACCTCATCAGTATAACTGCCAGTAATCCATCTTATTAGATCATAGTGATAGAATTTACAACAACACATAGAGAAATCACATCAGATGACAAAATGGTAGACAATCATACAATACTAGGAATCATGACCTAGCCAAGTTGACAAATATTTTGCGGGGGATACAATCCATGACGTGGTGATATAATGTTTCCTTTAAAAGTTATTTTAAGAAAGTAGGAATCAATTTAAAGGTATTAAGTAAATACTAGGAGCCCTAGTGGTGCAGTGGTTAAGTGCTTGGCTGCTGACCAAAAGTTTGGTGGTTTGAACCCACCAGCTGCTCTGCGGGAGAAAGATCAGCAGTCTGCTGTAAAGATAACAGCCTTGGAAACCCCATGAGGCAGTTCTACTCTGTCTTCTATAGGGTCGCTATGAACTGGAATCTACTACACAGCAATGTTTTTTTTTTTTTTTAAGTGAATAGTAGTGTAGATACAGTAGTAATTAAGACAGCAATGCATGCATAATTGATGTTTGGGAAATACTAGTATAGTAGAAAAACCCTCAACTCAGGGAAAGGCTCTACTGACTTTGTGTGTGACTTCAGTAACCCACTGAATTTCTGTCAAAGTATTCTCAGGCTTGAAATAGTATTGATCATTTTCTAGTCCAGATAGTATTACATCAGATAAGATAGTGAAAAACATACAAATTCAAGATCTTATGAACAGAGGTACTGATAACCACATGCCCTATGTTAAAATTTCATTGCTAAGACTTACTTTTAGAAAATCCTATGAAACAGAGCACTATCTGGCACCTAGTAAATTCTCAATAAATGTCAGCTAGTGTTATTATAGTTAGTATGTGCATAATTCAGCATACTTTTAGATTTTTTTTTTCCTAAGTGGAAATAACTATTTCTAAATCTGGAAATTCAGAAGTTGGTTCAAATTAGGATCTTTTAGAACTACCTAGGTCGGTGTTCCCCAATATTTTCTACTAGGGAACTATCATTAAGACACCCAAAAGAAAATGAAGCTCTGTCTGCATACCTTAATGCGAAGGTTTCTTGCATTAACATAAGGGTAGGAAAAGAGGTTGGGTAAAAATATGGGGAAGGGAGGAAAACAAGACTTTTTTCCCCCTCCGTTCACTTCTCAAATGTTTGATTTTTTTTTAACAAGAATATATTTGTGTATTAGTTTTATAAATAAAAACCTTCAAGACTACTTAAGGTTTGTTGAGGGTAAGGTAGTGGAATTGATGGATTAGGACTGCATTTGTTGAGAATGGTTTTGGTGGCTCATGTCAACATAATGTCAGAGAAATTTATGCATTGTATATTTTAATAGCACCAATGGCAGTTAATACAAATAGAAGTTTAGTATCTGTCCTATGGATTTTACGTTCAAATTTCGGAAAGATTCTGTCATATGGTACTATTTTAATCTTTTTTTTCTGAGCCCTTCAATAGGCCACAAAGCAACGTCAAATATATGACATAATAATCAACAAATATTTGAGTGAGCCTACATTAAAGGCACTCTACAAGATGCTATGTGAAAGCCAAAAATAAATAATATCCCTTTATTTAACAGAGATTATATGCTTTAAGATACAATTTGATTTGAAATGCCATCGGCAAAAAGACTAGGGAGACTGAATGGCAGAAAAAAAGACAGCATCTTTCCATTTCACATGGCTCACTATATGACCAATAATGTGTTACTTGACCTCTCAGCACCCTATTTTGAATCCTTAAATGATACTTGTATTAGCATTTCTAAGCATTTGAGGTATCCCCTTAAAATATGCTTTGAACTCTTCAGACTAAATGCTGCTTTCTAAAAAGCTGCTAGTTTGAAGAATAGGAAATGGTGTTAATGGAGTTAATCTTGTATAATTTCAGTATGGGTTGTCAAGAATACCTCTGAGTAAAGAAAATGACTCTAATCTTAAGCAATTCATTTTCTCAGCAACTTTGAGGCAGGAGCTAATTTACTCTGCCTGTGCACATAAACCCTCTCTTATTAAAGAAAAACTTTCCTTACGGGAAGAAGTCAAGACAGCCATGAAATTATCTAAAGTTAAACATATTGGAAAATATTACAAAATATGTAATATTAAGTTGCCTTTTCTAAGTTTCCTTAATAAATACCCAACCCAATTACCAGTGTAGGTATAAAACCTCTGTTACAAAGAAGGAATTGAGTCATGAAGTTAAAAAAAAGAGCTATTTGGTTGTTTTTAAAGGGAAGAGATCCTTAAGTGAAGGTGTTTGGGCAGTAGGAGGTGGTAGCTAGTGGAGGGGCGTAGGGACTTGTCTTAGGCTGGGTTCTCTAGAGAAGCAAAACTAGTGAAGTGTATATATATGTATAGAGAGAGAGAGAGAGAGATTTATCTCAAGGAAATGGCTCATGTG